GCGCAGATAAAGTCGTGTCTTATTTATACTCTGTTCTACTGACAACAGGCCAGCGAAAAATCTAACAATCTACAGCAAAACCATCAATTATTATGGGCGTTATAACATAGGTGTGCAGCTGGACGAAACATACACGTCGAACCCCCCCAGACGATTTAAATACCTGACGAAACATACACGTCAAACCACGGCAACGGGTTAAAAGCCAGTGGTATGGGACAATTGATTTCTTTACTAGATATTTATTTTTCACTTAGTTCTCTTTTCAATTTCGTTCTAATTTGTGTGTGATGAATGTCTGAAATTATTACTTCTTTTTTAAGAATCTGGACTGGATACTTGCTTTGGTGCAATGACTAGACTGATAATTCTGAGTTTTGTAACTTTTATGCTATTTTTATGTCAATAATACTCCTATTGTGGTAATACATCTTTCTGCATTAGGTATTTCTGGACCTTTATTCTTCTGAACCATAAATATCTGGACCATATGAATGGAATTTTGGTGAAAGATAAAAAATAGTCAAAACTATTTAGCTGATAAGCCTACATATAAGGGTTTTGTACTAAGGCTTATTAAAGGACAAGAAGTATGTCTGATATGGTAAGACATTTTCATACTACAGGAAACATAATGATTACAATCAAGTCCCAAAGTAGATTGTTTTAATTGACAGTGTGTAAGTGTGTACATTAGTATTCTCATAATAAAATGTTTCTGTTAGGTGAAGAGATATCTGATTCTTGATATCCTAACACCGTTGGCCTATTTTCTAAGACAAACGGTTTATTCCTTTCAGAGCTACTCAAGATTGTCAAGTGTTTTCATCCCAGATGCAATGGTTTGGCCTGAGCGTTGTATACATTTCTCTACATTATACACAGTACAGGCTACAGAGTATTTTGGGTCAACATGTGGGGTTCATGACATGGTACAAAAACTTTTTGGGGGTTTAGAATGTAATATGATAGACCTCTGATTGCTGGATCTCAGAGCGTCCAGAGAAGTTCCTGCCATTAATCCACAAACACACCACCACATTAAACAAATACTAATTCTCAATCTAGCAATGAGTTACCTTATGATGTATCCTTCTGTATTAATATACTGGGTTGAGATATGTAATCTCATTAAGTACTGGTCACAATGTCTGCATACAGAGTAATAACTGACTGTTAACATTTTATTTTGCTATGTATGTGCATGGATAACACATTATCCTGGAATTTGCATACTGACAATGTTTTAAACAAATTAACCAGAGTTTGTTATATGACCAGATCAGTCAAACCTTATATGTCTCTTTCATCACTGGTAATGATTTATTATTTCATTCTATATTATCTTATGGTATTATATTCTGGGGTCAATCTACCAATAGCAAAGAACTTTTTATGTTACAAAAAGGAGTTGTTCGTTTAATGACAGGATATGGAAGTAGGACCTTATGTAGGGATCTTCTTAGATAGAAATTTTACCATTGAAATTTCAATATATTTTTTCAATCCTGTTGTTTGTTCTAAAGAATAGGAATCTTTTTATTACCAATTACGATAGGCATAATGTACAGACCAGACATTGTGAAAATTTTTATTTTCCTACTTCCTCTCTATCATTGTATCAAAATGGTGTTTACTACAATGGTTTTAAATTTTTTAATAAATTACCACTTAAATTAAAAGAGCTTGTACAGATCCCTAAAATTTTTAAGAGTTCCTTAAGAAGATATCTGGTGTTGCACTGTTTTTACAAACTGGAGGAATTTTATTGTATGAATGGTTAATACATTCTTCATTTGCATTCAATTTCTTGTAATAATATTTATTTATGTTCTATGTCTGTGTTATGTATATTTTAGATTATGTTGCCTAGACTTGTTCCAATGATTAATTGGAACATTTGTTCTGATATGTGACTCATTCTATACCCAGTGGTTTGTGAATATACTTCTCAACATATATCTGGATCTGCTTGAATTTTAAATAAATGAACATGAACATGAACATGTGTTTGTTAGCATACCTGATGTCTAGTTTTCAATCCTGCAACTCATTACACAAGGCTCAAAATGTGCGGATGCTGACACACTCTAGATCCTAGCAGTATAAATACACCACCACTCACCTGGTGATGTCCCAATGTACCAAACACAGTCAGACTCCATAGGATAGCTGTTCGGATAGCCAGGTGATGCAAATGAGCCATGCTCTGATGACAGATTTCCACCACACGCTACAATAATAAGTTCATGTTAATTTACTTATTATGTTTCTCCTTTACATATGTGAACCTAAATATTGTAACGCGTTTGCAGTCCAGAAGAGTCACTTCTATGGAAACGCTAGAAGAGACTGTTACATAGGAAACAACAATCGCTCTATTGTAGTTCTAACAGGAGTCTCCATGGTTATAACAGAGGGTTCATTTGTATAGCAGCGGCCGAGGGGATAAATAGCCCAGCTTCGACGAGAAGCAGTCAGTCTTTATCCAGCCGATGAAGAAGAGAGTCTTGGAACATCCACCAGAGAAGACAGTCTAGTGTTGCCGAGATATTGCAAGCAGTAATTGTAACACTGCAAGAGCAAATGTTTGTGAAGTGTGTGTAAGGCAAGCGAACGGAATAAACTCGCTATATCAAAGAACGGCGTGAACTTACTTGTAGCGTGACACGCAAAACATGCTACAATATTTTTATAAAGAAGAATGATCTGGAACAGGGATACATTCGCTATATGACACTATACTGAAAAGACTTTCAGAAAATGATTTCCAGCAGTGTTTCAGGATATGGCAGGGATAACTGAATGTGTATATGAAGCCACAAGACAAGAACCCTAAACATGACACATTAATGAAAGGTAAAGATTTTCATCAATATTCCAGGCATGGCACAGATTTTGGAATGTATGCATAAGGTGATGGTGACTATTAAAGTTTGGCAACAATTACACATGCAAGAGTACACATGTACATGCATGCAAGCATGCATTTACAAATATACATCACATAACCTAATTAACTGACCAACCAACCAATCAACCAATTAAACAGCCAACCAACCAATTTCATGAGGTACAGTCCTTGAGAAGATCAAGAAATTTCCTGCCTTTTATTCATGGCTCATGAAAATTCAGTATAGTGTTCACAAGACCTTACTAGTACTCCATGACCTCAGTCTGATGAATCCATTATGCATTTTTATATCCCATCTCTTTAACTTGTATTTTAATATTTTAATTCTATCATCCACGCATTGGTCTTCCTTGTAGGTTGTGGACCAAAAGTTTGAATACATTTATCATCTTTCCCACGTGTGCTACATGCCCTAACCATCCCATCCTCCTCAATTTGGTCACCCTAATAACATTTGGTGAGGAATACTAATAAGCTAATCATTTTTTACAAAATCTGTTATGTGACTGAGATACCTTACATGTGGGATTGTATATGTCTTAACTTCGCAATAAAAACTCTGGTGTGTGAATTAAAAAATGTACTTTTCTTCTTAATTAAGATGCAATTCTTGTGGTAAAAAATAAACCTGAAAAAATGCAGGATATGAACTATATTTAAGAAGTGTGAGTTAGCCGGTGTGCTTGAACTTACCAGAGCTCAGGACCGAGTATGTAGCAGCAAAAGTTACAGCGTCACCCCCATACAATGAATAGATCTGCACAAACATAGCAGATCCCTGAGATGTTAGGTGTGGTGGAGCCTTGGAACCACAATAACTTCCTATCAGAGGTGCTTCTGCATCATCTCCATCCCTCACATCAACACGATAATATGGGCACCCTTCAGTCCAAACACCATCCCAGTTTGGTCTCAAATTCATTTCATTGACTGTAAGTGTCACTCGATCCTCTGAAACAGAACATCAGCATGGAAACAAGGCTTGATTATTGTGCTCAAAGACATCAGTCTGTCCATGAATATAACATGGGGAAAGGAAATTGGTATGGACAGAGAGTTACCTACAAAATTTAAGGATGAACCATACGGGGTAATTCAGACTATAGATTTACATGACTCCCACAGCCTGATTTCTTAAAGTATCTGTTGCTTTACAGTTCATAACTTTAGTCCCTGAGACCTCTTCCAAATGACATACTTCATGGTCTTTGAATCCTATCTAATGTCCATTAGCATAAAATTATCTGCTAGACTCCTGATGTATATCTCTGGCTTTGCACTGTGCTCAGGAATGAGGCTTACTGTTAGTAAACAACGTATTAATAATTTTACCACTCAGTGGAATCACCTCCAGTTAGTGCTGAATTCAAGAAAATATGGATCTATACAACCACTCCCCCATACGCCTTCATGGTGCAGTTCTTAATTGGTTAAGCACAAGGACAACTTTACCTTTATCTTTACCTTTGCCACTGATTGTGCACATGTGTGCACAATTCATTCATTCATTTCCTTTATTTTCCATATATCCATACAGGTAAAAAACCTAGGATGTGGAAATAGTCCCTCTGATAATATATGTGTCCAGATACATAAAATAAATTACATAAGTTATATAATTAAAATCACATACATTAGTTAATTAACATAGATAATAGAATAAAAAAACTTATTACAATTATAATTAATAAACATAATTTAAAAAGAACATTACTATAAAAACTTAAAATTAATACAATTTCATTCAAATTACCCAAATTAACTGAATTAAATGCATTATAATAATAATAATGTGGTGACCATATGCATTCTATTCTGCATGGAGATAGTTCATGAGTATAAAAAAAATTTTGACAGACATATTCTTTTTGTGTGCTACATATGACCATTGTGACACTACAAAACTTTTTAAGAATCTACATCTGAAATATTTAAGATAGAAGAAGGCTACTGCAAGAAAATTATCCACATAAATTACCAAGTTGCAAAAGTTATAAATCGCACTAGCCTCTCTATATATATGAAGGATTTAAAGAAAAGCATATTGTCATAAGTTCTTCTTACACTGTCTAGGAGAGTAGAAATAAGGAACTCTTGAAAGACTTTTGACATTGAAGAATCAAGTATTGTACCTGGATTTGGAGCAATAATAATCCATGAGCAGTTAAGGTTTTCATCCGAGAAAATAGAGTTATGTGTTCTTATTATCCCAGTATCTTCGGCCATGATGCGTGCCCCACAAGCCTGAACAAAATAATCAAAACACTTGAGACAGAAACATTAACTACAATACAAGCTGCATAATGTTCTATAAGTACCAATATTACTACTGACACATTATAACTTCACTCTCATTGACTCCCAATCTTGTTACTATAGTACGAATTCAATAAATGCATGCTACAATTTATTTTGGCACTTTTATCTTCTGTCTCATCTACAAAGACCTAAATATCAGAATATAAGAATATAATAATAATTTTACAGATATTTTACATAGATGTGGAAGAAATGATGAACTGGATGTTGGGAACGAAGTGTCGAAGAGAGCTTGACCTAAAAGACATAAAATAATAGAAGGAACAGAAAAAATAATATTAAAAAAGCTTAAAATTTTGTACACTTTTGTTAATACTGGTAGAACAATTCAATCAAATCAGATAACATGGGAGAGGTAGTAAGTGAAGGAAACAGAAGATGTAAGTAAAGATACCATGTGGAAGATCTTAGCACAGCTGGGAGGATGATGTTAAAATTAATCTTATAGAAAACTGCTGATGTGTAAGATGGATGGCAGGGCTCTGTAACATGAAAATGAACATTTCAAATCACAACACAGAGCTTGCTGACCAGGTGAATGAACATTTAATCACCTAGGGAAGGCACTGTATCATGGATTTGATTAATTATGGAAACCTTCTTATCTCAGGTTAAAACCCAGAATTCCATTCCAAGGAACCTAGGTTCAGAACTGTGATCAAATAAGCTGAAGCTCAAAGTTTGAGATAAGACATAAACCCCCACCATGATTCAAAATTTGTGTTAATTTACAGATCCTCTCCAGCAGCAATCTTCCTCTACCTGTTCTCATTATTAAAACTACAAAAATTTACTTCAGTCCTCACTATCTCAGAAACAGATAATTTTTTTATGATAGCTTCTAAATATGTATTACGAGCTATGTAATAGAAATTCCTAAATATGTTGATTTTACGCCTTCTAAAGATTGTCACAGCTGACCAAAACACATAAAGGCATTAAATACGTATGTCGTACCGAAAGTCATGAGCAACTTTTTTTGCATGCAACCTGGGAACAGCAGATGAAAGAGAGTATGGTGGTAGGTGGAACCAGCTGTTGTGTTAACCATGACTGACATCAACAGCTTGCATCATGTGACCAGTATCACTCCTAACAAAATGGCCAACAACGATATGTTGTTTTGCCAGCATGCTGTCATCGGATTTCTTGTGAAAGAGGAAATCCCTGCTGCAGAAATTCACCAGAGACTTCAGTGTGCTTATGGAAGTGTGTGCATGGGTGCGAGCAGTGTTCGAAGATGGGTGAAACATTTTAAAAATGGGAACACCAGCATCGAAGATGAGCCTCGGAGTGCTTGTCCTCGAACAGCCTCAACTGAACGCAACAAGGAAAGAGTGGATGACATCATTCAAGATGACAGGCATGTGACTGTTGACTTAATAGCCCGAAAACTTGGAATAGGGCACAGTGCAGTACAGGGGATGATTGAAAGCTTGGGCTATAGGAAATTTTGTGCTCGTTGGGTCCCGTGGTTATTGACCAAAGACCACAAAGGTCAGCAAAAAGCCATCACCTCAGAACTACTGCAGAGATATCGACACGAAGGTGATGATTTTTTGCTCTGTATTGTGACAGGTGACGAAAGCTGGTTTCAACATTTCGAGCCTGAAACAAAATGGCAGAGTATGGAATGGCACCATTTGCATTCTCCATCAAAAAACAAGGCAAAGACAGTGCCATCAGCTGCAAAGGTGATGGGCACAGTCTTCTGGGATGCAGAGGGGTTTATTCTGGCCAAATTCCTGGAACCTGTGCAAACCATCAATGCTGCTTGTTATGTCCAGACACTGCACAAGCTCCATCGTGCTTTGCGCGATAAACGTCCGGGACGAAACATCATCATCCTGCATGACAATGCTCGCCTCACATTGGAAGCAATTGCAAAGATGGGGTGGGAAGTTCTTCCACACCCCTCCTATAGCCCTGACCTGGCACCCTCCGAATACCATCTTTTTGGATTTGTGAAGGATCAGCTGCATGGACAACGTTCTGAGACAAGGGAGGCAATTCAGAAAGCAGTGCATCAGTGTCTTCGGATGGCTGGAACGGAATTTTACAGAAGGAGAATTTTCAAACTCTCAGAATGCTGGAAGAAATGTGTACAAAGAAGTGGCAATTATGTGGAAAAATAAAGAAAGGTCTGTAGACTGAGGTTGTGTATTTGGTTTGTCAATAATAAAGCATGTTACTTTACAAAAAACTGTTGTTCATGACTTTCAGTACGACCCTCGTATCTACAAGTAGAATCACACTGGATGATGGTATCAATTATTCTATATTAATTTACTAGTGTGATGGACCAGAATGAATAGAGCTAAGCTTAAATCCATGTACTTAAACTTTAATGGTTACCAACCACACTATTTGAAGACATTAAACAGTACACATTTCAGACTATTCATACAAGCCAACAGTCATCAAGAGAAAACATCAGGTTAACACTTTCCATGCCAGTGTATCAATCAGCTATTCACGTAGGTTCTAACTGGCTGACCATGAACCAAACTAATAAATACTTTGAGGTTAGTATTCTGCAGAATGCAATTTATATATACAAGTTAGACAAAATAATAGAAACACAACAGATACTAGATTCTAAAGGGTTCTAATAGTGTTGTATTGCCTGTAGTTTCGAGTTGCATGTCTAAAAGTGGTCGATAAATCCAATCATCCAATCCAGAACTTGTCCTATAAGTCACGCACAACCCCAAATCATAACAATATATATGCTAAGTAACACTAAAATAATGCAGCATATTCTATTTCTATTCTATTCTATTCTATTCTATGACTTTCAGTACAACCCTCGTATCTACAAGTAGAATCACACTGGATGATGGCATCAATTATTCTATATTAGTTTACTAGTGTGATGGACCAGAATGAATATAGCTAAGCTTAAATCCATGTACTTAAACTTTAATGGTTACCAACCACACTATTTGAAGACATTAAACAGTACACATTTCAGACTATCCAACAGTCATCAAGAGAAAACATCAGGTTAACACTTTCCATGCCAGTTCATGTTCACTCCTCTCAGTGACAGCTATCATGGCGGCAAGTAAGGAGTGCAGTGTAAATCGCTCTACATTTCAAGTACAAAATACAAGTAGTAACCAACCAAGTAAGTGCTTCTGCTGTATTGAATTGAGTATTCAACTCCAAAAAGCAAGAGATGAAATATTATCGTACAAGAAAATCATTGAAGTACTACAAGCTGAACCAAGTAATAAAATGCCACTTAACATCTTAAAGGAATCAAGAAAAAACAACAGCTTAGGGGGACAGGCAAATGCTCCATCAAGCGAAGAAGACTGGATATTTGTAACTTCCAAAAGCAATAGGACAAGGCAAGATATTAACAGAAATTTGATACAAATAATACCCGCGGCAAACAACAAATTCGATTTGCTACATAACCTTAAAGAAGACGAAGAAGCAACCAACACGATAAAGAAGGTCGCGGGAATCCAAAACCCAAGTAAACTATCACAAATAAAGATGGGAAATAAACACGTGAATAGTCAGAAGAAAGCTAAGCACAAAGTACTAATAATTGGGGATAGCCATGTAAAAAAATGTGCGGCTGAGCTTCGATTAAACCTGGATCAAGAGTATATGATTTCAGGTTTTTCTAAACCGGGAGCTCTAACCAATGAAATTTTGGAAACTTCAGAAAAAGAAATAGCTACACTGGGTAGTAAGGATATCTTGATTTTATGGGTTGGAGCAAATGACATCAGCAAAAACAACACAAAAGGAGCTATAAAGAGCTTAACATCATATTTGGAGGTACAAAGGAAGACAAATATTGTCCTAATTAATACACCACATAGACACGATCTTGTATCAACATCCTGTGTAAATAAGGAAGTAGAGAAATACAATAGGCAGTTGAAAAAAATCGTTAAACTGAATACAAATGTGGAGCTGATGGAATTGAAACTCCAAAGGAAGCACTTCACTGGACATGGGCAACATCTTAATTATAGCGGTAAAGAGTTAGTCTCCAAAGAACTGGCCAAGATAATTGAACGCCACTCAACAAAGGTAGGAACAATCCCCATAGAAATCCAGTGGAAACCGGACAATCTGAAGGAGATGAACTTGGAAATGCAGAATATAACTGGAGATCAGGAAGAAACAGTGAACCAGGAAAAGCCCATTAAGCCAACCAAGAGCCAAGATAAAAAAGCCGAGGGTACCAACAAGGCAGCAAAGTGCGAGGAACCACAAGGAGAGGAGACTGCAGATACCCAAGGGAATACATCAAAGGAGAATCCAGTAAACCCAGCCCCTAACTGCGTGGTGATACCAGAGAGGGAGCGGCAGGAAGTTCGCATGACAACCAGAACAAGGAAAATCCCACTCAAGCTAAGTAAAGATTTTTTATAGATAAACATAGTGCTGGTATACTCAAGGTCACCAACAATAAATATAAAGACAACACTAATATTAAAATATTTCATCAAAACGTGCAAAGTTTAAGGAACAAAAAACTAAACATAGAAGTGCTACTAACTTATAAAACACTACAGCTAGACGTGTTATGTATTACTGAACATTGGTTGAAGGATGAAGAAATAGGTTATTATAATTTTGCTAACTACACCCTTGTTTCAAAATTTTGTAGGAAGAATAAGCAACATGGAGGCTCATGCATCTATGTCAGGGACTATCTAGAAGCAAAGCCTTATAACTTGTTCGTAGACCTAAATCAAGAAGAACATTTCGAGGCTAGTATTATCAAACTCACACAATTTAACACAATCATCATCTGTGTGTACAGAACCCCTAATAGCAACATTAATATATTCATTGAAACCATGGACACAATAATTAGCAAGATACTAATCAAAGGGAAGAACATTATCATTGTAGGCGACCTCAACATAGATTTCTTAAGAAATGGAGGGGACCCACAACTACAGACAATGTTAAATTCACATGGCTTACAAGCAGTAGTGAATGTCCCAACGAGAATAGGTCCCAGAAGTCAAACAGCCATAGATCAAATAATAATTAACAAGAACTTATGGGAATACAATCTAGAGGCGATCGACACAGGATTTTCTGACCATAATGCGCAGATAATACGAGTGCAGATGCAACACAAGAACAAAAAAGGGCAAACCAGATTAGAGGGAGAATGCAGAATGGCCAGATCATATAAAGAAGAGAATGTCCAATACCTATGCAGTCTACTAGATAAAGAGACCTGGGAGCTCGTCTTTAAGCAAAAATCAGCGAATGATGCATATAATGAGTTCCTAGGTACTTTCCAATATTACTATGAAATAGCAATGCCTAAAAAATGGTTAAAGAGCAAACAGTATGCAAATAGATGGGTGACCCTAGGTATAAGGACATCAGGGAATAGACTCAGATTTCTTAACAGGCTAATGAAGGAAGGAAATGTTTCAGAAGAATTTAGGAAGTACTACGGTCAGTACAAGAAAATATACAACAAAGTTATCAGTGAAGCAAAAAAATCATCTAATAACATGCGATTAAGAACAGCTGTCAACAAATCGGGGGTGATGTGGGACTTAAATCAGGGAGGAGCTAGGTAACCAGAAAAAATTAAAGAAAAATTTTGAAATAAACACAGGCGGAGTAAATACGCAAGACCC